TGGGGATCAGGGGGTGGGGTAGGGGATCTATTTAATTTGGGGTTGAGCCTAATTTCTCAGTGCAGATGCCAGTAATACCTGACAGCAGCTCTGCAACTAATTGTGCCATTCACCATGTATCAGGCGTTTACTCTGACTGAATGAAGCCACAACACTAATCTCATCAAGTGAGAGTAAACTCCATCTTCAGTCTGAGCAGCTGATTACAAAGGTTTTCTTCTTTCACTTCACAGGTATAAATGTAGCAGACTGTTGCAGCTGATGAAAACTGGAGAACAAACTCAAACAACTCCTGTTAAACTTCTGTTGAAATAAAGTTTGTATGATGGTTAAAAAGAAGAAGCACAATTCATTTAGGATTACTTAAATGAAATAGGTGATTCTGCATTATGTGTGTATGTGTGTGTGTGTGTGTGTGTGTGTGTAGAGCTGGAACAGGAAACATACAGACAGACAAACAACATCTTTCTGTTCCACCTTAAACATTGAGTCATCTCCTCTGAGTCTGACTGATCCTCATGTTGAGCTGAACAAACCTCAAGAGAATAGCCTGTCTTCATCCGCCCCAGATAACCTGGCTTTACCTGTATACTGTAGTTTTTTCAGCATCTCCAACAAACTTTTTAAAACTGACACATTTGCTAAAACTAATATTTCTCCACAGAGATGCACGAAGATAGTGAAAGAGGAATAGGTCAGTAATCATTTAATAAGAATGACACTGAGTAGCACCCCAACAACACTGAACAGCCTGTCTCACAGGATGTGTTTGAAATGTACAGTACTGGTTTGTACAGAAAGAAGTGATGGTCTCATATTGTGACATCTGATATTTTCATGTTATATCTCAACTATACTGACATGCCTTGATATTGACTAAAAAACCTTAAACCCATAGTACGACATTGTGCTGTTTGTTGTAGAGAGGAGGAGACCTGTCGATAATTAGCTACTGGTAAAAACCTCCTGAACCACTGACACTGGAGGAATCAAACCAGGGGAAGCTGACGGCAGCAAATCCCATGATCCCACACTACGTCATGACATCACCCAACACTGTCTTTTGTTAATGTTCTGATTGAGAGGCAGGAGTTACAGACTTTTTTATTTAAGGTAAACACAAGAAACTTGTGCTACAGAAAATGGACCAGACTCAGTCAATAGCTCCCTAAGCTTAACATCCTAAATCCTATGATAAGTATTAATTTGGCTATACAGACTAATGAGCAGTGATAACTAACATGTCTTTGGGGTCTAACAGTCATTGTAAAATATCAGGCCGTCAGTGCATTGTAAGAGAAGAAGAAACAATAAAGGCCTTTTAACAGTTTATTGAAGATGCTTCATTTAAACTCACACACCACATGGATAAAATATTGATGAATAGAAAGTGCAACCAGATTAAATCACTGGAATAAAACATCTTCTCTTTAAAATCACACAGCGGATCTTGATAAACAAATTATTTGAGTTGAAAATCTTTATTGATGTAAATTGTATAATTTGTTGAGAATGAAATGACGTAACAACAGTCAATGGAAACCAAAATCATCAACCCATTGAGGTCTGGATTCACAATCTCACCGAATCCAATTTGCATGAATTTCATCATAGAAACTCGTAATGGGACTCAATAGTGTGTACGGCCCGCCCATGCCTGTATGCACTCCTGACAACATCTGGGCACCAATACATAACATGCCATAGGTGCTCAATTAGATTGAGGTCAGGGGAACATGAGGGTCAGTCAGTGGCATAAATGCCTTTGTCATCCAGGAACTGCCTACACATTCTGGCCACAAGTTGCCAGGCATTGTCCTGCACCAGGAGGAACCCAGAGCCCACTGCACCAGTGTAAGGTCTGACAATCGCTCTAAGGATTTTATCCTCCTAGCAGCAGTCAGGATATTGTTGGCTATGACATGGAGATCTGTCCAGCTCTCCTCATGTAAGGGCCGGTCTCCTGGTGTCTCCTCCATACTCTTGAGACTGTACTGGGAGACACAGCAAACCGTCTTGTGACCGCACGTATGGATGTGCCATCCTGGAGGAGCTGGACTGCCTGCACAACCTGATTGGGCTGCAGGTACCGCCTCATAATGCCAGTAGTGAAAAGGACACTAGCAAAACACAAAACTAGAGAAGAATCAGTCAGGAAGGATAAGATCAGAGCAATTATCTGTGGCAACCACATGCAAAACCATTCCATTTTGCCTCATTGCACCTGTTGTCATTTTCATTTGCACCAAAGCAGCTGAAATTGATTCATATCACTTGTGCTTCCTAAATGGACAGATTGATATTCCTGAAGTTTAACTGACTTGGTGTTATACTGTGATGATATATATATGAAAGCTTTCAGTGGGTCTCTGATTGCTAGAATCTGTAAGATGCTGTAAGCAAGTCCATTTTCAATGAAATGAAGGATGAAAGTTCATTCACATTCACTAAGAACAAGGAGCTCATCAGGAGGACTGTCCCACTGTAAAACCATCAGGTCCATGAGGGCTCTCTAGCAGACACACTTTCTGTAAGTCCACACAGTTCATTGCGTTTTGATATTAAACACAGGGTTACCATGGTTAAAAGGAGATGCCTGGAAGCATTAAAAATAGCAAACAATCGCCATAAAACATAAAAAAGAAGAAAAAGAAAGACAAAGAATGGTTAGGGATCAAACCCAAATGTACACTTTAGAAGAAAAGAACAAACACAGAGCTTAGTGGGGATTCAGAGAATTGTGTGTAGGTATTTTGTTTACAAACAGGAAGTGAAGGGAAGTCAAGGTCAAGGTAACATGAAATGTCACAAAGTTCTGTCCCATTCCTCTTTATAACATTTTGAGCCCCTGCAGCCACTCACACTCAATCACTTACCAGGTGACATTAACTGAATCTGTGAGGGGACACTGGGATTGGGCCTGTGTTTTTCCCTGGTCTTTGTCAGTTCATCTCCTTGCTTCTGCTGTGTTTCCCCAGTGTCTCCTAATGCTCCTGTTGTGGTCCTTAGTTTTTTGCTAGTTTCAGTTTCAGAATTGTTGTGTTAACTCTGGAGTAAGTCTTTTGTGTTTTTTCTTTTTGAGTAAATCTTCAAACTCAACCACTCAGCCTTTGAGTCTGCTTTTGGGTACAGAAATCCTCAGATGTGACAAGAGGGTGATAGTTTTACACACATGTGTAAGTCCTGTAAATAAAGCTAGCATCACATGTCAATAAATTCTGTACTGGACAAATGAGAGGCTATTTTCCTACATCATAAGCAATATTAGCAAATATTGCTTCTGGCTGCAGGAATTAGACAGTCGCACATTAAAGGTTCTGTAAATGACTGTCACTTCCACTAGACGTCGTACTATACCACCAGCATCTCAGACCAAAATAAAAGCTTCGACAGCCACACCTCCAGCCTTCGTTTAGCCACAACCCCACCTCCCTTTATGTATGCAAGGTGTAACAAGGTGTACAGTGTAAGTGTCCACTAAACACACAGGAAGCACAACTCAATAAAGTTACACAGGCGAACACAAGTCAAATGAAGTTTTTTCTTAGTGGAGGAAATTCTGGAAGGTCAATTTCACCTGAACACTGCAAACTGCACTGTGACATCACACTTGTGGGCAGAGCCTGTGTTTATAAACATGGGGAGGACCAATGTTTAACAGGAGGGACTCAGTAGTAACATGCACACGTGCGCGCACTAACACACACATGCTGCCAGACCGGCTACCACAACAAAGAGCAGAGAAACTCAGATCGCAATACACACAGAGGGGGTGTGGCTTCATTCTCTGCCATTACTCCACTATATCTTAACATACAAAATAGGTGTTTGGTTTTATTATTGTTTAAAATCTGGTTTAAGAACCTTTACTAATTTCTGTCATCTGTCACCATCAGGTTAATATGCAAAGTTAGTAAAAAGTCAGTAATTAAATATTACTCCGAAGGAAAGATTTAGGAAGTATGGTGAGTATAAAGGGAGACAGGGGCTTGAGTCTTATTTATATTTTTACTGAATGCATTACTTTCAATTTTTCCTATATTTCTATTACGTTTCTTTATATTTATGCAACAGAGCTACTCCGTTAGGTTTAGGCTCTTTAAACTTGGTTAGGTTGCCTTTCTGGCAAAGCCTCAAGGGAAAACTTCTCCCAGGTGCTGCGGTAATCATCCTGTACTACCTCTGATTGGTTCAGTAGTATCTTTTGAAAAGACTCTCACTATGTTAGATATAAATATGTTGTACGTTCCCTTTGCTTTCACCAAACATTTTGCTTGCACATTACTTTCAGAGACGAGACACTGCAGATATTTCAAGGCCCATTTCCAGGCTTGGAGTTTGAGGGAAGACTACCACCAACTATTTGACGACTTTTTTTGGTGTTACCCATGTTGAGCTCTTTAAATTATTAATACATTCAAATTTATATTGAATCGTCCCAGGCATGACTCAGTCATCGCTGCACCCTCTAGACATAGACGTTTTTGAGAGGACTGTTATTTATTGATGATAATTTTAATGAACATTTAAATGTTGTAAACAGAGATTCTTACACACAGCTCATTTTAAATGTTCAGTTGGTGGCATGTCTACATCAGCTCAGAGGTTCCAAGTATGGAATCAGATTTGAGTCATTTTTTTGTCATTTTCATTGGTAATATTTCAGTTCTGAAGATTAGTAACAGAATTAAGCAGATTGTGAGAGTTATTATATTTATTGTAATTAGAAACTATTCATAAACTGCCCTTTTCACTTGGACCCCATTATCCTTGTTTTCTCGCTCACCCACCACGCCTACACACATACTTGCATACTGCTATCTCTTCCTCTCTCTCTCACACTCACATGCACACGCACGCACGCACACACACACACAACAGTCCCTGTCAAAGCTGCCACACCAGTTGAACAGATCACTCAGCAGTAAACCACAACGAAGCAACTTGACACGCCCATCTCTCTCTCTCTCTCTCTCTCTCTCTCTCTCTCTGTCTCTATGTCTCTCTCAGTCTCTCTCTTTGTCTCTGTCTATTTCTCATGGTATCATGACCTGAATAAATAACTGAACTCCAGGACAGACAGAAGAAGAAGAAAGTGTTTGACTGAAGTTTTGAGAAGAAGAGCGTTCCAACAGGTAATGATGACAGTAACACACTGATCAGTTTTACTGTGATGAGAAGTTGAACAGGTTCTTTGTGCCTGTGTCATGTCAGTCTGATCTGTGTATGTTGCGTAGTGGTGAATATAAACCTGATATATCTCTAGGTTTTGTATATAAATTCTAGAGGCTTTCATTCAATGACCACAGACCTGTTCTGTTAGAAAACAACAAGCTGAACGTTTGGCAGCAAAATTAAAAAACATGATTTTAGAAATGATACTATTTAATGAAATCATATGTTTAACGATTCGTGTAGCCACTGTATCTTCAGAATTTAAACCTAGTGAAACACTGAATTACGTTCTTGGTATCATCAGCCATTTTGTAATGTGTTTGAACTAACCACATGCTGACAGAGTTCCCTGTGTTAACTATCGCTGGAAAACTTTCAAGCAACAGTGTGAAAATATCCACTCTAGGTGTTTCTGCAGGTCGAGTGTCCAAATCCTTTACGTTTGACTATGTAGGGAAACAGATAAGTTTATATGATGAGCTAAAACAGAGAAACACCATGAGACAAACATAATCACTACACAGCCTTTTCAACCTGTGCTGGTCAGCTTCCTTATCAGTATATACTAGTGAGTGCAGATCATTTGTATCCTACAATATCAAAGTTTGGTAAAACTGAAAGAATTGAATGTTGAATTGAAGGAAATTTGGATTTCCAACACGTTTGACTATTTAGAGACATTCCTGTAAAAACAACTAGCCCATAGGTCGTCTGTAAAAGCAGTTACATTGACTCCTTTGTGAGGTGACTTCTAGTGGTGGAGAAAATGATGACAGCAGCAGAGGAGGAGGTAGGAGTGGTAGGACTAGTGCTCGACTCCCATGTCAAACAACATCATTTCTTTTATCTATGACTGTTCCACAACCTTAACCACGTGTTTAGTATTGTTACCATGGTGACAAAGGTCCGGTATGCCTGCGATCCAAGGGTAGGTTAGGTTGGAGGACTTACTGATGTTTAACTTTTATTTACCTAACGTTTCTTGATGTTGTGTAATTATATTATTAAAATAATTGTACCATAATGTCTCACTTTAACCAGGGCACATATGGACCTCTTCTCTACATACTTTAACTTTCACCCTCTGCACTTCCTGTAGTTGCACACACAGTTTTCCTCAGGTTTGAAGAATGAAGAATGGTTTAGATAATCTGGGTGAACCTGTCTGATTGTCACTTTGTTCACAGACATTAACATTTAGCTTAGTGAGTACACTGTTGTCAGAACTGGTAGAAATAATAACCACAACTATGTGAATAAGTAGTAAAATCATTTACAGCTTTTTAAAGAGTCACAGGTTTCATATGCAGGTAGCTGTAGAAGGGAATGTACAGTATACTACAGATTAGTCATTACAACGGCTTGTAGTAGTTTACTGCTCATTGTGCTGGGTAGTGTTAAAAGATATGTTGTCTTTGGAGATGCTACACCTACAGTTTATATGAAGTGACTTCATGCACAGCAGAGCTAACTCTCCAGGGAGAGACTCTGTGATGTGATACGTCAGCTGGGGCATCCAGGAGTTTCACAACAATTCACACATTCATTCATGAAACCTTAATGACCTGAGTGTCAGGGTGTGAATCAGTCATGTGAGCAGATACACCTCCTGTCTGATGTCAGATGAGTACGGAGCTCTTTGCTTCCTCTCAGTCTTTGACTTCCCCTGCTCAGTGATTTGGTCTCATATGTTTTTAGATTCAGTCCCTCTGGATCCCACATTTCCCATGAGGCATTTCCCATTAGATCCTCCCAGCCTGCTAATCACCCATCTCTTTCAAACTGCACATATCTATTTGTTCTTTCCAAGCCTAAACTGAGATACTACTGATGACATCACCATGACATCACATTTACTGTTCAGAGCCACAGGAGACAGTATGCAACTATTTGTACTAACCATGATAGTAAACTAGGCAGTGTGAGTAAAGTCTGATGTGTTTCCCTGTTTGTCTACAGCTGCTCAGGATGGGCTCTGATGAATGTGATGACATCACCATGACATCATAAGGGTTATTTTTTTCAGAGCCCCAGAAGACATTGTTTTCACAGGCTGAACAGTACTAACCCTGACAGTAAACTGGGCAGTGTGAGTAAAGTCTGATGTTTCTCTGTGTGTTTGTCTACAGCTGCTCAGGATGGGCTCAGGCCAGAGCAGTGACAAGCTCCACTGTAATCGCTATCTGAATGGACATGGTCCTCCATCACTGCAACAACAAGGTCCTGCACATACAGACACTTCTGCCCCCTTTGTCTATCAAACTCTCCATAATTATTATCTACCCACCTCTGCTCCCTGTCTGTGCAGCTAATGAAGGGGTGAATAGAGTGTACAGTGCACTGAGTGTCTGCCAGCCAAAGGGCCAGATGACCTGGGTGATCCTCCATAGAGACCTACCAGGATTCCCTCATGACAACACCCTACAGATCAACTACATATTCCCAGATGGAATACAGACTGTAAGCTTGCATACTTTTAAAATTAGAGTTAATGCAGAAAGTCTTCACTGTTTCCACATGTGGTTATGATGCAGTTTTATGGTAAAATAAAAAAAACCTTTTTCTTCATCAGTCTACGCTTGATACTCCGTAATGACCAAGCAAAAAATTCTTTCAAATTTATTAGAAACTTAAAAATGTATTGCTGTGACTAATGAAATTTAGTTCAGGTGCTAAAGAGACGAGACTTCTGGAAGTTTCTCTTGAGCTCCGAGACACCATCAGCTTCTGGGTCTGATGTCCCGGTTAGTCCAGGTCCAGGTCTTGAAGAGTCCTGTCTCTGAGCTCTGCAGGTGACAGGTGTCTATATGACCTTATATAGACAGGTGTGAGACCAATCAGCTGAGTTTACCAGGTGGGTTAGTAACCCTAACCCTAACTCCAGTCAAGGAGTAGAAACATCTCAGATGATCAAGAAAAATGGAGGAAACTGAAGCGTCATACTAATGTGTCGGAAAATGTATGTCAATGTGATATTTAAGTTTCTACTTTTTCATAAAGCTGTAAAATAATGGCTACAATTCAGTTTCCACTTTGTTATTATGAGGGACTGAGTGTAGACTGATGAGGATAATAATTTTATATCTTATCATAAAACTGAATCATAACAACAGTGAAGAGTTTTTGAATGAGCTTTATTATCTAATGACTGCTTGGCTTCTGATTGAAGATATGCATATCTTCATACAGATTTTTTGAATTCTGCCAAGATGACCAGTTTATTCTAAAAAAGGCTGAAGCTATGTTTGTGTTTGTCCTCTTGTTGTGTATGGAAACCCATTTTGTGTGTGTTTCTCTCTGTGTGTTTTTAATAATTAATAATTTAATTTCTTTGGTGTATATTGTTTTGCACATTTATAACAGGTATTCAAAAGCACAGTTTGAAATGAACGTACTTTAATTATTTATAGTCAACAAATAGAATCAGTAACCAGCTTGATTAATGGAATAAACATGTAACTGCACCACACAGTTCTGAATTACACTGAAACACAATGTAGTCCACCAAGACAAGACAAAGTCATACACAACATTAAGAAGCAACAAGTGAGACAGCACAAAGAAGAGCACAGGTTCCTTCTGCACCAGCATTCTTTAAGAAGCTGATGATCTGGTTAGTCTGGTTAGTCTGGTTAGTCTGGTTAGAGCGACAGGAACAACACTGACAGGAGAGATTTGCATTTATGTGTATATTAATTCATTAAAACAGAGATCACCCAGCTGTGTGCCTTATGACTCTGGGTTCACTGCTACTGTTCCAGCTACTAGCTCACATTGCTACACAACTATTCCTGTGCTGTTGACTAGACGACTTTTATTTCTTCGCCAGTGACAGTGATGTTGGAGGTTTGACACACTAACTCCAGTCAGTCAGGAACAGGATCACCTGATCAATAGGTCCTGGTGAGACTGTAGGAGAAATCAGACAGGTGACAAATTGAAGGAGAAACAGGACAGTATACTAAATACAGTGTTGTTTAATGAAGCCTAACTTACCTGCAGGAGAAACACCCTCACCCCGGCCAGCCTTACTCTGGCCTGCGGCTCTGTGCTTACCTGCCTGACAGCCGTGAGGGCAGGAGAGTCCTGAAGCTGCTGGACAAGGCCTTCAACCATCAGCTCCTGTTCACGGTCAGCACCAACAATGATGGAGGGGACGTGATCACAGCTTCTATCCCCCTGAAAATACAACCAGACGGAGGAAGCAGAGTGTGAGTAAATATTACAACCAGAGTTTTCCCCTGTGGGGGAAATATATAGGATATATAGATATATGGATGTACGTTATCCAGATGTACGTTATCCAGATGTATGTTATCCAGGTGCATGTTATCCAGGTGCAAAGACAATTAAATAATTTCTCAGCTACGCTGCTGCTGCCATGCCACCGTACACACCTCTCACATGTAGACGTGACGTGTGACATCTGACATCACTGTGACATCACGTGTATTCTCAATCAACACAATCAAAATTTTACCGGGAGCTGGCGAACGTTAACACATACGTAGAGATATCAGTTCTCCTCTCAGTTAAGTAATCCACTTTCAGTCAGTCATCACACCCCACACACACGTTAACAGGTTACAGCGGACACACTGCGGCATGACATATGAGATTTTCTCTGATTTTAAACAGATATTTTTACATTATTGAATAAATAGAAATCTTGACGTGATCGATTTTCAAGAAAAAGTTACAGGAAGATAAAAGTATAAACCCTGTAGGTAGCTCACCTGTCTGTGTCTGTGATATCATAGCTCACCTGAGAGGCCTCTAGCTCACCTGTCTGTTGAAAATATAAAATTAAAACCACAGAAAAGCTGTCCGTGTGTGTGTGTGTGTGTGTGTGTGTGTGTGTGTGTGTGTGTGCGCATGTGTGTGTATGTATGCAATGTGTGTGCATTGCATTTTTGGCACCTGATGCTCGTCTTCACAACACTCGTGCCAGGGTAGAATTGGTTAGTTCAGCTTTCTGTTCAGCAGCTCATAGACGAGGGTGTATGATATACAGAATTTGTAAAGGTTTGACCCGGTACCACATACTTATCCTAATTTTTTGAAAAAAAAGAACACATTACAAGATTTCTGTGACTTCAAAGAACATAATAACTTTACTGTCACTTAAAGAATAATTTAATACGGTCTCACTTATTTGTAATTTTAATTTAATCTAATCGACATTGTTAGAGTTTACAATGCTCTCGTCCTCATTCATTAGTTGCAAACGGATATGTTGAATGTTGAAATCACCAAAAACATGAGCATGTTCAATGAACGAGCTCTTTTAGTATGTTCATGCACAACACTGGTCCCCCATATCTCAGTCATTGATTCTTTATCATAATAACCTACATTTAGCATTAAACATCTAAATCCACTACTCTTAATGTAATCATTTGTCATTTGTGTTCTCTCAGTGATGGCTACCCAGACTCTGACTACTTGAAGACTGTGAGGAAGCTACTGAAGGATAAAGGCATTGAATAACACACAACACACTGCTGGAGGCACAGACTACTCAACTACATACTATCTTTGAATAACCAGATAATCTTTGCCACATTTTTATAAAACATTATCTGATGGTTGTTGTTGTCAGTGTACAATTTGTGTAAATTGTGTATTATTATACTGCAATTCTGATGTTTGAAATATACAATGAAAAGGTTTTAGGCTCTTCATCTTTGTTCCCAGATTCACTTTGCAATAGGAGACACTGACCCCAAACATACAGACTCAAAGAAAACACAGAGTCCTGATCTCATCATCATGAGACAGTCTCTTCAAGATGCTTGGAACAACCTATCTGCCAAAGACCTGGAGAAATGTTGTGAACTGTTTTAAGACAAAGGATGGTCACAACAAATATTGATTTAATTTAGGTGTTTTCTGTTCATTGTGCTTTGTATAATGTTAATAAATAAACTGTTTACCACTCATAATTTTGCATCCTCACTTCACAGCAGTTTTTCAAGTTGCTGAAACTTGTCACTTGTATTTATTATGTATGTATAAATATGTATTAATTCCAACTTGTGGTGGTGTTTTTTGTGACATAATATGTGAAGCATCATGTGAAGTGATTTTATGATTGTATCACAAAAATGACTTTTTAAACTCAGAAAATGGAGTCATGTTACTCCATTGATAGGGCAATCAAATGTTACATTTTATGGGATTAAAAAATAGATAGATAGATAGATAGATAGATAGATAGATAGATAGATAGATAGATAGATAGATAGATACTTTATTTATTCCCCTAGGGGAATGTTATGAGTGTAACGTATCTTCATCTATATTATTGCTACACTGAAGCAAAATATCAATGTTTTATTACATATATTAAAACTTTTAATCAGGCTCTTGAACAAGGATGCTTTAAGTCAACCGGACAATTGGTACCAGATGACTCCTTAGTAGCAATGATCCTCTGGTCATTCTAGGCTGGAACACAGCGTGTATGAAGATGCAGCTGTAGCATACATGCCTGGCCTGGCATCAGTCACAAGCCATTAAAGAAGTTCATTGTAAGGACATGCAGAGTTATGGACACAAATTGACACTTTGTTACTCTTCCCACCATCAAACTATCAAATTGATAGGAAACAGATAAAGGACCCCTCTCTCCCAAACTGTCCATGCTTTTAGCATGTCAGAGGAACACAGAGTCAGACCAAGGGTTACAGGGTCAGCTCCATAGGATCAACCAATGGACACCAGGCAACTGGGGAGCATAGTCAAAATCTAAAGTTTGTAACAATAAGACTCTCTCTAATGATATTTGATTGTTTCTTGTATAGGACAAATAACACCAAAAGGACTGATTATCACTAAGGTGTGAATCCTGGCCCCTCTGTGCCATGCATGAACACACACACACCAACCTCCCTTCCTCTGTCCCTCTCTAGATAAGAGTCATAAACTACAACCCACTTTCCAATCCTGGGTAGTGACCAGCAGAACTCTCTTCACAGACACACATCTGAGGAAGAATATATAATTAAATATCTAACTGTTCTGTAACTCCTGAGACGTTTCTATGTAATAGTTCAATCCCAAATTTCATAGTCACACAGTCGTGATCAATTCACACTATGCTAGAGGCTGAAACTTTGCTGAAAGCTCAAGGCTCAAAGCCTGGCTCTGTAGCTATATATATAGCTATATATAGCTATATAACCTTGTAATTCTAAGTTGCTAGCCACAAACTCATGGTTGTTAGCCATTTTTGCACGTCATCATTTTTGTCCGCTTCCTTTATTCTTTCTTTGCCACGTGCTCCAAGTAACATTCTTTTTGTCAACATGTGCAACCTTTTATTTTCATAAGTCAAGACCAACTGAAACAAAACAACATAACTGCCTCAGAGTGCCTCAAGTTTTCCTTTTTGAAGCTTTTTTGACAACTTTAGAGTCATCTAGTCAATGCCAGTCTCCTCTAAAGTTATCCAGCCAAAGTGAAGTGTCTTGGAGTTTATTTCGCATCAAACCGCAAGAGATGCCAGCAGAAAACACATCTGACCACGACTGCCTGCAGAGAAGCCTACCAGAAATCAAGAGTGCCCGAGACAGAAAGTCTCCTGGCAAACTCCACCAGAGCTGAACAACTGAGACACCGGCAGAATCAGTCACTGTGATAACGGGACACAGCCTCCAGGAGAATCCACCTAGATCCTGTGTCTCCAGGGTTATCACGGCAACTCACAGTTGCCGTGATAACAGAACAGACTTGTCTTAACACTCTGCTCATGACTGGGTTGATGTCGAAATATAGTAATATTTAATCATCAAACCTAATTCGTAGACGTAGTATCATTAGCTGTATAGCCATAGTTTACAATTTATAATTCTCTTCCACCATTGCCAACTTATCACACAGCTCATTCCATTATAACTTTCATCTTTATGATTATTACACCTTGCATTTACTCTGTAGATATTAGTTTAGTTAATAAACCTTTTTATTTACAACCAGTTGTTGTCCTATTGTTTTCTTTTGACGTAGACACTGGAGATCCATTGAATCGAGAAGTCATGGCTTCTGCTATGAGATTGATAAATTTATCAATGAAGTAATTCATTGTTGTCTTCCCAGAGGACTGGTGCCCCATTTCAACGAGAGCAAATTCTAAATAATGGCCTTGACGCTACACAGTGTTTTTCTCTGCCTGTTGCCATTTTTTTAAAACAGGGAGTAGCCAACATTTACCAGCATCGGTTTCAACAACTGGTGAAAAGCATCAGCATCTCTGAAGTCATCATGAAAGTGTGGGGTATAAATCTGCTATGGAGACATGGAGTTTAAACAAAAACAGGCAAGTGGCTCAAAAATACCGAACATGTTTAACACGGGACATTCAGTGTTGGTCATGGAAAACCGAAGCTAAGAATAGACCTTTTGGTTTCACTGACATCATAGCAGCAACATCACATAAAACTAATACATTCCACTATAGTCTCAATGTTTAGTCTGAATCTGAATATGAAACAGACATAAAAAAACATAAATATAAAAACATAAATATATTTTTAATCATTTTAGCAGTTGCATGTGAAGACAGTAGCATTTTAGTGATGTTTTTCTGTCAAAAATAAATGAGAATTTATAATGAAAAGAAATCCAAAATAAGCAGTAACCTGCAAACTCTATGTAGACAGACAGAGCTGCAGCAACAGAGATGCAGCCAGTGTGAACACATGATTTTCTGCAGCAGGTCAGTGATAGCTGCTGCTATACACAAGCAACATAGGCAGTGTGTTTGTTCCTGGTGAAAGTAATGAACTGCAGTCATCTCAGTGAGAGGAAATAAAAGTGTGAAGTTGCTTTAGCTTCAGCAGTATTTTGATTGAAGTATTGAGCGAGCTCTTGTTGAGAGGCAGCAGATTGACACTGGGCCAGAACAGACGAGGCTCTGAGACACGTTTAAGACACATTTCCTGCCACAATACCAACAGCTATCTTTGTACTGCCTCAGTTGAACAAGGCCCCACGCATGTTCACGCATCTCCTCCAACCTGTGCATCCCGCTTTGTGCACTTGGCATCCAAGTAGTTGCGCCACCATGAAAATAGGGCACAGTATCATATCCTTAATTTTTCTGATTCCCACCCTGATATAAACCTGTTAACATTCTATATTTCACTGTGAATGTGAACGTTGGCCAACCGTCTGGTCTTATTACTATGTAGTTAAGACTCATTATGTAATCAAAGAGGTTCCACTGCACAACTGTTCTAGCAGGAGGTGGTGGGAAGAACACTGCCAGTTATTGGTCTTATTTTTCTCTTCTACCTTTATTCCCTACTTAAAGTCTTGCCTCTACCTTATTGGTCCATACTGCCAAGTGTGAACTTTCCCAGCTTAATGCAGGCTTGATGTTCTCTTCAAACTGAATTACAGCCAGGTCCTTGCACTCACAATAAAGTCTAATCTCATTTGGGAGGCCTCTGTCATCCAGGAGCCTCTTAAACCACTTTCTCCTGGACGCTCAAACACACTCATCTGTCCACCACTGGCAGGTCAAAGCCTGTCAAATTTGTCTTCACCACAACACGCGTGCGCGCGCACACACACACACACACACACACACACACACACCATGGGGGCTGTAGTATTGTTTGTAGCTCCAGGAGCAGCTGTACACCAGTGACAGAGACTCACAATCTTTTGTCATGTTGAAATCGATCTGTTGTGTAAGAACCATAATTCTTTCTTTTACATGTTTCCTTATTGTTAGCAGCGAAAATAGAAAGCACAGGTATTCAAGCCTAAATGGACAAGTTGTGACTGAAGTTCAAGAAATTTTTTAACTACAAAGATATTTTATGTATCATCACTGTCCTGTTAGTACTGATAAATGGTCCACAGCAGTGTTTCATTAAGCTCACAATTAGACTCTGTTCCTTTTGGAAGACAAAGCAGATTGTGTGTCTGGTAATTACTGGACATGGGGAGTGTAGACGCCTAAGATGGATATAATGTAGATATATTTTGTTCCCATACAGTCTATCTAACAATCTATATGCAAACGGAAACAGCTGGTGTCTACGTCTACATCTCTTTGTCAGCGGCTCTATCGGTCTGACTTTTTATCCAATTTCCATCCAGTTTAAGCCCATATATCTCTGACACTCTTTGACATCTTGGTCGTTTTAACCATAACTTTTAACTGGATAAAGAATTTCAAGATCTGACGCAGATTTTAAGGTGTTTTAAGGACTTTCCCTTCGCCATGTAGCCTACACTCACAGAAGCACAGGCCTGAGAACGCCACTCTCACCAATCGTAGGATACTTTTACCTTGTTTTAAGTTTCCCACTCTAATGATCGTGTTGTTCTGTGAGCTATTCTTGAACTGAACTCAGATACAATGGCAGTGTGTATGAACTTCAAACTCCAATGCTCACAGTTAAGAGAGACATCCACCAGCTGAAATCAGAACTTCAAGAAAAGAATCAGCTGATTGACAGCTTTATCTCTATAGTCATGGCCCAGGCAAAGCATATATCCCATATGCAGTCCTCCAGCCTTGCAGCCCAGTGGCCCAACCTGCCTCCACTCTGGTGTCTCAGTTGGTCTCGGCCTCTGCGGCCACCCTTCCTTGGTGGGCCTCGATGCACACCAGCTGCTGCATCTCCTCCACCTGTGGCTAGCATAGACCAGACGGCTCATTACTCTATGACCGGGATGAAGCGCTGCAAAATGTTGCAGGAAGCCGTCACCAGACATTCAGGAAGTCTTCTCGAGACAGAGCCCCAACTCTCCTTTCAACCTGCGCAGACCACCCATCCTGAACCACTGTCCTCATGGCAGACTGAGCACTCATTGTCCAATCCAAGTAGCTCACACACATCACCTCTTCGTCCTCTCATCCACCCCACCACATTAATCATCGGGGATTCCATAACCAGGGATATCCGCTTCATTAACGCTATCACACGCTGTTTCCCTGGTGCCACTGTCCCAATCATTTTGGACAAACC